CAGTATCAGGGACCCAGAAAACATGGATTCAGACAACTAAACATGTTTAAGGAAGAAATTTACTATATACAAGAACAAGATTTATCATTTTTTGTTATCAGGGTCCGGGAAAAAGAGTGTTTCATCGAAAATTCGCCGTTTCCCGGCGCACGATTACAATATTTCTCTTCTTGCGATGTAAGGACAAGAATTTAAAAAATAGTAAGTAGAGACTTACGGCCTCTCGATTTTATAACGAATCCATGAAACGTAAATACATGACAATTTCTTCTTGGAATATATTTTGATTTAGACATTTTATGGATTTTAATATTACATTTTCCTAATGTGTTATTTTTTCTTCCTGTTCCATCACAGTTTTGAATTATTTACCTGGTCAGCGCAACTGCTGGCCTGGCTAACAAATTCAGAAGGGGAAGACGTAGCTGCGACACCCCCGCAGCCATGGCCGCCATCACCCCCAGTTTCTGTGCAGATAAAAGTTTTGGTAGTATTTGACGATCCGATTTTCCTCTTCACCCCCCGTAGTTGCAATCAGTAGCTCAGCATGACTAAATCAAACGGTTAGTTAGAAGCAACAAAGTAGGAGATCTTCGAAGAGGTGATCCCTTCTTAATAACGAAACAGTTTAAATGTAAGTATTAATTTGAATGTCATAAAAATGCATTGTTTCAATAATTCTAAACATACATTATCTTAAAAAAGTGTACGTGTTATACAACTCCCAGAACACACACGTGAACGGTGACGAATCAACAGCATGGTCAAAATCAGCATCTCTGGTTTACTCTAGAACGCACATTATAATGGGGTCTATTATAAACTCTACTGTATAGTGGGACATCAACGGAAATGTGTTCCTCTCAGTGACGGATGGTACCCCAACAAACTGGGGATTGTAGCTCCATCGAATGACGGAAACGTAATGCCCAAAATTCAGAATACGAATATTAAAAGAAACGTAAGTAATTCAAGCAAATTAATTAAAACCAACTTTAATAAAAATATACGATTACTTACATAACTATGCGTCGTGTCCGTTTTCGGTAAAAATATGTTCACCTCCCACGTTCATGGTTATGCTTTTTACTTCTAGTCAGATCTCAAGTTTTTGTATTTATTCTGCATCGAGACAATTGCCAGCAATCGAATTCACAGAATCTTACTTCAACATAGGGCTTTCGGTGTCGCATCCTGTAGGTCGCGGGTTTGCCGTCGAGCTGTGTGGCGCCCAGAGGGGAATGCCTACTTTCCGTCTTCGTCTGACACTAGCTGCAACTTACGTTTTATGAATTTTACATGTTATTGAAAGTAAACAAGTTCAGTCAATTCTTGACGGAATTGAATTCGTCAGTCATTTCGGGAGCATCGTTGTGAAAAGCGAATACGTCAAGTGTGTGGTAGATACTTTATGAAGTGTTGTTTTTGTTGTTGCTGTTGCTGCCGATAAAGAAAGCAAGAATTTAACAGCTTACTGCATGAGTGTTCGGTATTTATTTTTCAGTTATCAGATGATAGGGAATACAATGCAAAATTTAATTAAAAACTCCTTTCGGTTCACACCCTATTGACGGCAAACTAGAAATTAATAGACTCGAAATGCCTATTCTAAGTCTTCAAAATTTACGTCATGATCAGTAATGTTGGCGTCTTCCATTCTTGAAGGGTTAACACGGCACCTGCACGGCACAAAATAAATTAATCTTTCAAAAGGCTTACAGCGCAGACGTACAATGGCACTTCCGCAATGTCTAGCATTTCGAAAGGTGTTCAAACACTTGTTAAAAATAGCTATCCTAATGCTCAATATGTCCGTTGTCATGCATATCAGATAATTTAGTGATGATGAAAACTGCATCAATAAATATAAATGTTAGAATGGTTTGCCAGAGTTCAGGGCTTATGCAGATTTTTTCAAACAGCCCACAGAGGACATCAATATTAGATAAATAGTTTAAAAAAACAAAAAACTGTGACTAAATCCGTAGAATTTTCTGTCAAGAAGAATCACAATAATTTTTTACCATATGCAAGCCTCAATTTAATTCATGAAAACAAGTTTACAATCAGGTGTCAAAAAAATGACTACTCTCTCCCATGTTGCCGGTCATTTAAAATTGTTGACAGTGAAAAGTTCATTTTTTGGCTTTCATGTTTTCGGTAAGTAATGCCCCTCATTGATACATTATTTGGGCAACATCAGAAACTTGAAATTGAGCCCACAGTCCTTGTACAAAATCTTCTGAACTTTGAACAAAATATGACAAAACTTATAAATGGCAATGAAACAATCTCTAAACACCAACCTCTATCTCAATCTTCATCTGCAAAGAAAAGGAATACACAGTGGAACAATGAGTGGGCGAGAGACGCAAAGGAAATATGTGGTGTAATTATTTTTCAAATGAAAGATTTAGTTTCACTGTTTTTTCACTGCTTCTTCTTTGTTCACGTTGAAACAAAATTCCAGTTTCTGATTCTAAATTTCCAGAAGAAACTTTAAAAATTGTTTGTAATTCTTACAAGTTTTTGAGCCCCCACCTAAAAAAAAAAAAGAAAAAAAAGAAATTGCAGGGAGCTTGAAGCAATTTATAGTGCCGAGGAATTAAGGAGATATCAGGCACTCTTACTTTATTTCAGTTTCCCAAAGGATCAAAGTTAAAAGAAACATTCAGTGAAGTCATCACACTATTCGAAATCACACAATTCTGAAGCAGAAAGAGGTTTTTTGACCCTCAAACGTTTAAAGACGTTTAAAGAAGAAACAGCATGTCACAAGACAGATTGTCTGCATTGACCACGACATCAATAGAGAAGAATGTCATAAAAGATGTTGATTTTAAGCAGAGAGTGATTGAAAAATTCGCACATCAAAAATAAAGGCATATAGATTTCCTCTTCAAATAAAAAATGAGAAATAACCTTTAATAAAAATGTTGTATTAATGTCTAAATTAAACTAAAAATGTACTTCACATTTTGAAAAAATAACTATCGCACATCTCTTTAGGAAGTGAAGTGTTGATTTTTTTGGCATCCCAGAATTCTAGTAGCATAGTAGTGCTAGGAAAAGGAAATTATTTTAATAATAATTTAAATAACAATTCATAGCAGTAAAGGCTTAAAAATTTCAAAATATCTAGAATTTAGGAGACTGCTTCCAAAATCAAATATATTAATGGGGTTCTATTATAATGGAAATTTTATTTATAGGCAGGGAGAGTAACTGTGCTTGAGTGTAAAAATAAAGTGAAAGGAATTTAGAAGAAACTTAAAGCTCACTGCCAATTGGATGTGTCCTTTTGATTATTTTTATTGTCCAAAATTAGAAAAAAGGTAGAAATAGGAATGAACTTTTGAAGAGATAAAACAATCCACCCTCACACAGAATCATTCAAGAGTACCTGCCATAGGATGAGAGTACTGCAAATGAGTATTAAGAGAAATAAAAATATTAATCACTAGGAAAAATACATATTTTCCTATTTTACATGATCCCATAATTTATATTATCTGATGACAATTTATTTTTTAGTCACTAAAGTTCTCTTATTCTTCCACGTAGGGTAAAAAGAAATGAATTTACAATTCCTGTTATTTAACAGTTTTGTATGAAGATACTAGGGTAAAAGAAAAGTTCTATTTGATGAAAATATCTTTTCACCAAATTGCCATATTGATTTCAGATTTTGTAATAATTTATATAATATGGAATTCTGAATATTTTTGATAATTGCTTTCTTCTAAGAGTTCTAACCTGAAGCATGATATTGAAACTTGATCAAGATATTTTGAAAAAATTAGCTTGTAGTGCCTGAAAAATAAATGTTGGTTTATTTACTATACAGATGATTTCGAGTAATGTAATAAAGCATGAAGCCCACAATTTAAGAGGTTCATCATTGTATTCATTAAACATTAAGACTTAGAAAAACATTCTAACATTAAATTAACCATTAAATTAACTCTCACAATTATTGTATGGTGTTGATAACACTGGCCTGTGTAACAAAACTTGTATGATGTTTAAATGTTTTGTTGTTGTAAACAGTTTTTTATAGGAATTGACCACACTGAACTCTAAAATAATATTTGTTTTCCTCAATCATGTCTAGTTTTTGTGCTATGTATCCAATGACTACCACATACTGTGTTTACCATGACATTTTCTCTTTATAGAGGGTTAATAGCATGATAACAGACTTGAACTCAACAGTAGATTATACAAAAGTAACTATTATGTGAATTAAACAGAAAATAGTTTCAGCACAACCTTTGTTAATAGAATATTATATTTAAAAAAAACATTAATATTGTGGAAAAAAATCGGTACCTTCTTACTTCCTTTCTCAATGCATGCCTCATGAATAATAAATGTGAAAGGTTGAAATAAATGTAGCTGTTCTACTTATCCTTTATAACACTTTAAAGGTTCTTTACATAAACCAATTTATTTTATAGAAATTATTACCTAAGAGCCTTTCCTTTATGTATGGCTCCAGGTTCATCTCTTTTCAGACACAAACAAAAGTGAGCCATGATATTGGCCTCGGCGGCCTCATACCTCTCTACCTCTGAAATATAAAATAAAGTCTCTCGACATAAATCATCTTGTAATTTCGCCTTGCAAAAGTAATTTCGCCTTGCAAATTATCCTTTTCTTCCCTCCACACCATAGGTATACCAAAGGGTAATTGCATTTATGAATCCCTTGTTCCAATCTCTAACCCTACCTAACTCATGTTTGACACCATAGCTGTAGAGCAAAGATCTTGTCCAAATCTCTCAATTTCATATCAAAATAAGCATAATAGCTAGCTTTACAAATGCTGTACTTGCAATGTGTGATCTTTGCCCTTGCAATGTCACTTTATCACATATGTAAAAAACATATTTGGGTAATTTTTACATTCTCTATTCATGTTAGTTATCTTTAACATGTACTACACCCAAGAAATTATAAAAATATGTTAAAGAAACAAAGAAATATTTTGTATTGGCATTAACATTTAATAAAGACCACAAATGCCAAAAACATGTATAAGCTTTTACAGGAAAAACTGGAGCAGATGTGTAAATACGGATTGCAACTTGAAATCAACATGAAAAACACATAAAATATTGTAGACATAAAACATTAAGCAGACTGGTGTAATTAATTTAAAAAAGTGACCAATCAAAAATTAAATTATGAGACCATGTACAATGCCAAAGGCAACTAGATCAATAAACATTCAAAGCATGGAAGCCATAAATGAGACAACTACCAATGGATTATGGCATCAGCATTTGTGAGAGGGTTACTTATTGCTTATTGCACATACTTATAGCTTTGCATTTGCTTTCATTGCTCTATTCATTCCTATAAAGTTGATATATGGGAGACATTATCTGATTATCACACTAGCCAATTACCTGACAAAGCATGTGTATTTATCAGAATCTATTTGACAGCCTTCCTGTCCATTACTTGCCCTTCCTAGACCTGATCAGTCTCACTGTAGCACTAATTTTTGGATGTACCTGAAGAATTATTATGGGGGGATAGCAAACCAACTGTTTTGTCTCAGTATTTCAAAAGTGTCTGTGAAAAATTTCAGAGCTGCTGCTCTAGATATAAAAAGTTAAAGTGGGACAAACAACCACATGTGCCTCTTATTTTTATACATTAATGAGATTTTAATGTTTACATGTTCAACAATGTTTGGATAGAGGGTCGAATAACAGAACTGATAATCTGTTTTTGTTCTTTCAGTGTTTTCTGGGAAACAACACCCACCCTTATTTCTTTGATGAACCATGTCACTATATACAGCTTATTTGCTTTTGGAGCAAAATCAGGAATATTGATATTTGTAATAATTCATTCTTCTTTAAAGTTTGTTAGCCATTTCCAAATGCCATGCATTATTTTTGGTCAAATTTTGTAATATATTTCTAAATTTCTAACTTAGCCTGATGAAATTCAGAGGACATAAACTTCTAAGGAAACAAATTTTGGATTTTGGAGGCATGTCACCCATGCAAATCATTTTGCACAAAAGTATGTAATAAAATAAAATACGACAATTCTAATTAACATAGATTTATAAAGCTTTGAACTGATGTGATTTGGGTGACTATTCTGATTATGTTTATTTACTGGGTGCTGTCCATGTACCTACCACAAAAAAAATTGTCAAAATACATTTTATGTATTAAAAAAGGCATATATCATTTATTTCTCAATAACTCCACTAATGATTTAAAAATGAAGTGATACTTGACTTTTCAAATAAAATTACTCAACAATGCTATTGCAAATAAAGAATAACATTGTAACATATCAGGCTTTTTATTCAACAATGTAATATTTCTCAACAACATTGTACATTCACATTCTAAAACATTTCCATTCTTTAAGATTGATATATGTTTCCATGCTATAATCATCATGCACAACTCAATTAGTGAATAAATAACTCGGTGATTATTAAAATTAAACTACATTTGTTCGCTTTTCTTGAAGGCCATTTTTCATTCTGAAATTTTTACAAAATAGCCATACAAAACAGTGCAGAACTTGATTACTGGTGCATTAAGTACTCAGAAATAACAGTCCCTACCATCATCAGAGAAATCTTCAGCATCATCAGCACCCAATGCAAGCAATCCCGACGGTCGCTGAAATGCAGCTTCCCAAGCCTCTTCCCACCACAAGGCCAGTTTGACAGCAGCAAAACTTGCATAATGTGGAAAATCAAGCATACCACCGACAACCTCAGGACACAAATTTTCTTGTAATACTGCCTGATGAGCTTCATAGTATTCAAGATCACGTTGTAGTAAGATCCGTACCCTATCCATCAAGTTTCCATCTTCCATAATCTCCATGATTGGAGTTTTTAAGAAACAGAATGCAGACTTAAAAATTTATGAAATCAATACTTCATTATCTTGTATTTCAACTGTAAGATTCCTCCAGTACCAACACCATGTCAAGTTCAGGACCTTTGTTCACTAAAATTTGACCTTCAATACTTCCAACAACAAAGCCATCATTGTAAATATCTGAGGTTTGATTTGCCTTGGAGTTTCACACACAGAAACTATATTCCAATTTGAAATTAAAAACAATATTCATTTTTGTTTCTCTGGCTTACTGTAAGAGCAACGTTTGAAGTCCACAGATTGCTGCAAGATTTTTGAAATTTCCTCATTTAACAAATCATGAAGTGATACTCCATCATGTCGATAAACCCAATGGCCATCAAGAAAATCATAACGTTTTGGTCCACTTGTAGGAGATGACAACCAAATCTGGAGGTTAGGTGATTGCCTATTAATTACATAAGTTCCATATGGTTCTCCAAACTGTACAGTCAAGACACCATCCTGAAAATAATGGATTTCATGTTTATAAATTGGCTACATTTCATTCAACCGTATTTTTTCTTCAAATTTGTTAAATTAAATTCCATGATGTGGAAAGTATTCTTTAACTTGTATTATAAGTACAATGACGAGGCAATTATTAAAGAAACATACTATTAAGAAACCCATTACATTTACACAATAATTCATTAATGTTATAAAAGATAAGAACCCAACATACTGCAAGTAAAATAAATGAACAAAATCTTCAAAATGTTGAACTTACTCCATAAATTACATCTGGGCTATTCAGATGAGCTCCTTCTTCTACTAACTCTTCAAAATACTCTGTCAACGTTTCAAGAGTATCCTCGCTAATACGTTCATAGTCTGCAAGTGTTAGATTTCTGCAAAACAATAGAGGTTAAAAACCTTATGAATTTGGTAAAAACTTCCAAAAAAACTAAAAGAAGTGGTGAGGACTATTATGATTTCAAAGTTCCCACTTCACTCTCAACTTACCCAGAAATTGCACTACTTTCATTAGAATATTCAGAAATTAAAATATTCCGGTTGCTTGGATTAACAGTTGCTTTCTGGACATTGACAAACGGAAACGATACATGAAGAAGTGAACAGTAACACAGAGGATGTGCTAAATGACGATACGTCACAACAGTTGCTAATCTACGGCCAAAAAGCCTAAATGACATTGTCAACAATTTCGCTGCCTAGCAACCAATTTGGTTTATTTACTAATGTTTGAAGTACTCCCGGTTCAGTTCGTTCAATCTGCAATCTGAAGTTTCGTTCGCTGCGCGTAAACTGCGAGAGCAAGACGAACACCGGCGGGAAAACCAAATCGCCTAATTCACCTACCCAGAATAAATCATTCTACAACACGTTCATAACGAATTCATTTTTAATTTCATTTTTCATAGGCACCATGCATTTCAGCGTCCTTAGTCCATCACAGCACAAGCATTTCAGTACCCCTAGAAGAGAAAAATAAGAAATATCCATAGAGCAGGAAGTCGTGTACTATACTTGGATTTAAACGTATCTACCCCTGACGTAAATCAGCTGATGCTGTGTCATCAAATGGGGAGGTGAAACGTCACCATAGTGACGTCACTGTAGTGATGTCTAAGCTTCCGATTGGATGACACTATAACAGCTGACAACTTGCTAAGTGCAGCTCTAAATAAATTGAAGTATAGTTTGCACTTCTTCGTTTGTAAGATAGGATATGATGGAAAGATAGGAATAGAGATGTGTGATTATTAAATATTAATCGATTAATATCTAATCGATTATTTTTTATTGGGGAGTTTGTGAACCCTCCAACGTTAAAGCACTGTCGATCTTCTTTCGCAGTTCAAGTTTCGCATCACTTAATGTATCTGCGCATGCGCAGTAAATCGATAGTGTTGTCTGCTAAGGTGTGCACAAATTCCCCATGGGGAAAACTCTTTATTAGACTGGAGAGATTTTGCGTCATAGCGAGCAGCAATCGAGTGCAATCTTGATCTTCTGCGCATGTGCAGATCAAAGCCTTCTGCCGAATAAAGATATCCTAGGTGGCGTTGCGCAGATACACAAAAGGGATGCGAAAATTGAACTGCGCATTCGCAGAAGGTAGAAAGTGCCTTCGATTACTTTAACGTTCGAGGTTGCACTAAATACTGGGGAATTAGTGCATCCTCGAATATTAAAGCTCTATCGATCTGCGCATTTCAAGTTTCGCATCACTTGAGTGCATCTGCGCATGCGCAGAAGATTGATGGTGCTGACCCTATGGCGTGCACAAACTTCCGCATAGATTAATCTTCCGAATTAATGGATTAATCTTATATAATCGATTGATTTTCACTTGTTCTTTTCATTGATAATAGTGCCCTAAAAAAGTAAAGTGAATATTGCTTGTTGATTGTAATACACATTGTCAAATTAATGGAACTATTGTCTTAAGTACGTTATCCCCGTCCCCATTTTCTAAAGGAATTCCTTCTCCGGCCTCCCCAGCATGTTCTAAAAGAAAATTTTACAATTTCTGCTCATACCTAATAGCATGAGACGCTCACTAGTGCCGAGTTTCAGGTTATTTTCCTTACTCTCAATTGCGATAAGAATTATCTTAATTTCTTTTTTACATTTCAAGGTGAGCGATTTCAATAAAAACAAACACTATTATAATTCTTCCAATTTATTGTATTTAACTTCCAAAATGTACAAAACTTCCAATTTACTGTATTCAACCAATTAGGCACTTTATATGATCAATTTGTACATGTATTATTATAAATGTACAAATTATTATTATACTACACTTATATACTATTATTATTATTATTATTATTATTATTATTATTATTACTATTATTATTATTATACAGCTTAATGTGATTGTCAACTGCTAAATAATTTGAGGTCATTGAAAATTGTTAACAAGTCTTAGTTTTATATTATTAGCATTAATGGAATTATAATAATTAATATAATGATAATTCAGTCGCGGATCCATGTGGAGGTAAAGTAGGGAAATCTTTCCCCTAAAATTTTTCAGGAACTATTAATTTGTCACGAAACTTTCAAGCAAAACATTTTCGGGTAATCATTAATACGAATAAAATTTAATCACAGCATGAGCTGAGTGTAGCTTGCGACATTTTACAAAATCTGTAATATGACACATTCGACTAAGATATTTTGAATTTTCCCGAGAGAGGAAGAGAGAGAGACAGAGACGAGAAGAGGAGAGAGGGAAAGGAGACAGAGAAGAGACACACACAGATTTCTCGGGATATATTGAATATAATGATATAATAGGACTTCATTTCTAAGATGGTTACCCGGGGAGGCCAATAGTAAAGATGGTATCTACATTTACAAAGATACATGAGAGCCAGACTACGCTTCATACCCTCACGCCCTCACTCTCACAATTATCAGAAGTAAGCAAAAAACTTATTAAATACTAAATACTGATTATAAAATTATTATATAATAAATATATATATATATTTAGTATATAATAAGTATTTAACACACATAACACACATTCTTGTCACATGGCCGACTTTTGCCAATTCTTGACAAAAATGTATCTGCTATGCTATGTTGGTATGCACTGATCTGCAAAATCATATATTTCCTTTTGATGTTATTTAAAAAATAAAGTTACTTATAAAATAAAAAACTTTAATGTAATTTGGATTCAATTATAGCCTGGATGAGCTACGTATCCCGAAATGTGGTAACAAATAATTTTGAGAAAAGAAAACTGAATTAACATATTCAACGCATTGTCTGTCTGCATATATTTGGACTCCTCACTTCAAGATTAATTACTTTACACCGAAGTTACAAATGGGAATTGACCTTACCTTGGTAAAACTGGGGGAAAGCACACGTGGTTTGCGATTTTTCATACTTCTTTATATTTCAAATCCCAGATATTCAAAATTAAACACGTTGGACATGAGGGGTTTCTGCATCAACGGCATAAATTTTATGTAATAGAATGCAATAAAATTTCAAGTAAGATTCCACAACTGTATATTTCTGTCAAATATAACATACATTATCCGTTTCTATGATCCACGTAAGTGTGTTTGGAACACAATAGTGCATAAAGAGATTAAATTTCTGAATCATGGAGTATGGCTCTAATTTCTTTCATATCGCCATCTCTAGACACTAATCATTGATAATTCAGACAAGAAAAATAATTGTTGTAAAGTCTAGAATTAGGTTTCCTTACGCAAGTCTGAGTTCGTTCTTGCAAATCATCAATAAATTTCTAGCTCTCATCACATCAGGTGTTTGTTTAATAAGAAAATCCATATTCTGTGCAAATTGAAAAAATTTAGTTTCATCAGTTTAGAACTTCCTTCCCTTTTTCCACATATATACATTTCTTATACAGTTGGCTAATAACTTTTTAAATTTAGGATATTTATTTCATCATGTGTTTAGTGAAAGCCCTTTGTTTCTAGAGGAGATGATAATTCTGTGTAACTCATTGGCAAATACCACACTATCCTTTTTATGACACTCTCTTACAACCTGCAATTCGTGTCGCAGGCATAGGCTGTCCCTCTAATGGGAAAATATGATGGATTGAAGACAAAATCATCTTTCGCTACAATGCCAGATAAATGATAACAATGACTTTTTTCTACCAGCCAGCCATTGGAGAAAAAAAAGATGTCTAGCTCTTTGAACTCACATATCATTGATTGTAACAGAATGAAAGAAAACTTAATATATAATTCCATATAAACATCACCTAATTCTCGCTCTCCTTGCTCCTCATACACATAGTTGTAGATTCTGCATGTTTTTGAGCAGATGGGTTAATATTGGGAAGCGCCGGACAACAACAATTAATAGAATACTCAAGAAGAATGCATCCTGTTGATTATGATATGAGAAAATTTCTTTTGCCTTAAGGCCTCAAAAGTTTAGTTTTTAATGTCTAGAACCGCTTCGTTTGATATTTAACGACATAGAGTCAACATCTTTGTTGCGGATATAGGATTAATCAAACTAATTTGGTCTATGTGTAGTGTCTGTAATGTGTTACATGTCATGCTTATAGAATAATTATTTTTGTAAGTTAAACCTCGTTCTAACAGACGGATTTACTGGCAGATAAAATTATTTTTACAATAAATTTTACTTATAATCTTCTTTTCCATTTCAAGATACAGGAATGCCTTTCCGTTTCACTTTGCACTTCAGGACCATCTCTTCTGGGTCGGCCGATATCTCTTCTTCCCTCTGGTAGTTCATCACAAATTGGGATACATCTTCTCCATTCTTAGAGATATGCGGCGCCATACTTTCCTGTTTTCTAGATCCTTTCATTATTATGTTTATGTTATAGTTCTTTACGGATATCCTCATTTCTTATCCCTCTTCTTTTAATAAGGTCATCAAAATATTATATATATATATATAATTATATATTATATATATATATATATATATATATATATATAATACTAATTAATAGTGTTAGAGATAAACTACATCCTTTTTTTTAAGTCCTTGTTTATTAATATTCTTCAGTTCTCTTCATATGCCAGTATTTATTATAATTTTTGTCTCTTTAATATATTTTTGATGTTTTATAGAGGTGTTCAGAAGCCACTTCCGTTCATTATATTCCATAGTTTGTGCGTCTTCCACGCTATCAAAAGCTTTCTCGAAGTCAATATAGCTATATGGTTTCGTTATTTTCTTCTCGTCTTTTCTAATATTGCTTTTAAGACTAAAAATGTGTTACAAGAGCGTCCTTACTTATAATTCCTTTTACTTAAATTGCCCGAGTAACATCCGTTCTCCGTTCGGTTCGTCACTCACGTTAGCCACTACTGACAGAATTAAAATATTTTTGAGTGGGGATGCTGGTCACACGACACGGTCACAACAATGAAGATCGTGTGGATTCAGTTGGATGAAATTGAATTAAAAGAAAATGAAAACCACAAAAATGGATGGATCTCATCCTGGTAGATTACGGTTCAAAACGTTCTTGAGGTATTTCTCCTCAAAATTCAGTTTTTAATGCCATAAAAACTCTTCGTTATTTAACAATATACAGTACAAAAACTAACCGGGAGCTACGGTTGCATTTTAGCATGAACATGTAGATTTTTCGTGAATTATTCGATATTTTAATAGTTATCTGCTATCTGCGAAGATGAATCCATCAAATCATAGATAATTAAAATAGTAAACTACCAGAAATTATATCATTCTATCTATCTCTCTCTCCTCTCTCTCCTTCTCTCTCTCCCTCTCTCTCTCTCTCATATAATATATATATATATATATAATAATATATATATATATATATAATTAAATAATATATATTGTACAGTACAAGCTCCTGCGTGAAAAAATACATGAAAAAAAACAAAAAATAGCAGACGCCCGACCAGCTCGAGGAAGAGGGTCGTAGGCATTCGCCCCGTTCGTCTATTGAGG